TATCAGAGGGAAAAGAAATGTCTTGAAAAGAGGCAAGAATTTAGTTGATACCACCAGGACCACTTAGCATAATAGAAGTCATGCCTTATTTCCTCAAGGATTAGTTTCCTTAAAATAAGCAGAGATTTTTTTTCTTTAGGACTTTAGCAATCAAGTGATAAAAATGATGCTACGATATACAAAAGCACAGTAAATAAAAACATTTTAAAGGCATCCACTTCTAAAAATATGTCAATATTGAAAAATCATGCTCTAAATCCTTTTTCTTGAATTCCAATAGCAGAGAACATTAGCAAAGGCATTGTGACTTGCTGACACAGAACCTCCTAAGACTGCTAAATAAACTACATTTCTTCCTGCTGTTCTCAAATAATCTTTTATGTGCGTAAATTTTTTGTTTGCCCTTATGATTTGGAGGAGGGGTAGGCAATTTGGGGTAAAAATGCTTACACAGTAAGACCTTTTTTGTAAACTGCTGAGGGCAGAGAGGGGAGAGAGATTAACAATAATCACTGACTTGTTCTTTTGTTTAAAGGGGAATGAATTGACCCACACATACAGAAAAAAGATCACAGATTATTTAACATAGGTATGCAAACACAAAATTGCAAAATCACAAAACTTTACTTGGCAAAGCATGATTTACTTTAACCATTAAAAGAATTCATAATTGTCCTTCCTATGAAAAGGAAAGTATTTGTCACAAATCAAGACAGTCACCAGAAAATGGATGTTCATGGTGAGAAGTCACTGCAGAATCAGTAAGACAGACCCGCCAGTGCCATTCGTACTACAGAAAGCATAAACAGTGTGTTAGTGTTCACAGTCCAGAGCAAAAGCCTCCCCCCACCCTCAGAGGGCTGGCTGAGCAGCGTCACACCCAGTCACCGTCAGGCAGCCCGAAAACGCTATGCCAGGACAAGTCTGCTGTCAGTTCCTCAGTTATGACAAGCTCTTGAACACAACCTGCTCCACATCTACCTTAGGTACCTCCACTTATTACCTCCAAACACTTCATAGCCTCCCCTCCATAGTATTCTAATCCTTACTGTTATATGTGTACATAATCGAGCCCACCAGGTTCCTCTGTCCATGGGATTTCCCAGGTAAGAATACTGGAGTGGGTTGCCATTTCCTCCTCCAAGGGATCTTCCCTATCCAGGGATCAAATCCGAGTTTCCAATGTCTCCTGCATTGGCAGGCGGATTGTTCTTCACCACTGTGCCACCTGAGAAACCCTACTGTATGTTTATATTATGTTATATTAATGTGTTATATGTATCTATGCATATCACACATGTAACTAGAAGGTCTCTTCCTCTTCGGCTGTACATTCCACAAGAACAGAGACCATGTCTGTTTCATATAACACATAGCGGGCTCTTGGATACTGCCTAGTACAGAAGTAAGCACTTTCTGGAATAGAATGCATCCAGGGTTTCACCTATGGCTGTCATCACTTCACATCCTCAGAACCGTGACAAGACCATTCCCCCTGCCATGCTAGACTAGAAAGACCTTAACAGTAAACAATGGAGGTTCTCTACTGACCTGTAAAAACCACCAGGCTTGCATTATGGGCTAAAGTGGGGGCAGGAGGGTCCTTCCATCAGTCTGATCAGTCAACAGTCATGCCAGTAACTGACCATGGACTTTTTTTGGATTCCAGAGGGCTGCCAGATTGCTTTTCTGTCTACCAACATAAAACCCTTACCTGAAGCAGTTTTTCTTTTCCTTTGTAACAGCAGAACCCAATGCAAATTTTGTCTCTGCCTTTCATCTCTGTGGAAGGCAGCCTCCATGACTGCCTCTGCTGCTCTTTGCCTCCCAGGACTCACAGCTCTTGGGCAACAGACTCTGCCGAGCTGAGCAGGGTGATCTACATGGCTAGTATGCTGTCATGGAAATGATGGCATGAGACTACTGAAGTTAAATCCTAGAAAACACTGGGGCACCTGCTTCGAGCTTTATCATTTGCTCTGGGGGTGGGGGCGGGGGGGGGGCACACTTGGAGGACACTTCGGCAGTCCTGAGCAGAGGTCTGTGATGAACTGTGTTGTCCTGCCAACAGCCTGCGCGAACTTGCCAGCCACATAAGTAAGTCATCCTGGAAAAGGATCCCTCTGCCTTAATCAGACCTTCAGCTGACTGCCGCCTCATGGCTCTCCTGACTGCTACCTCCTAAGATCCTCGCCAGAACTAACCTACTAAAGAGCTTCCAAGTTCTAAACCACAGAAACTGCAGGTGATAATAAAGGTTCATTGCAGCTTCAGGCTACTAAATTTGGGAGTAATTTTTTATGCAGCAGTGTATAACTAATACAATCTTCTGCCACTCAAGTTTGCATAGAAAATTTTCAAGAAACTGTCACCACTTACACAAAGGGAAATAAGAAATTCATTTTTATTTTCAGTTTTTCATTTACCCCACAAGTCTCACCTCTCTGTTCATTAGATTCCATAAGGAAGACATAGCAACTGGTTGGGTTATTGAAAAATATTTTAGAAGGATAAAATAAGATTCATTCTGCTTTTTTAGAGAAAAGAATTTTCATATGCTAAGAAGAGAACAGAACTTTCTGAAGGTGATGAAAAGATGAGATACGAGAGATGGGACAGAGGTTGAAATGATGCCCTAAAGATCAGGAATGGAAAGGAGGTGAAATAAATTCAGGGATTGGTTTCTTCTGTATGTCACAACCTTGCTTTCCTACATTTTTACTGAGGCCCAGCCCCAAGAAAATGTGTAATGATCAGTGTGTAGGGGTAAGATACCCAGGATGACAAATCCCAGGAGGTGATAAAATTTGTACTAGTAATAAAAGAAAAAACTAGGTGACAAGCACTTGGATATCAAGATAATCTTAGAAAGATGCATGTGTGTGGGTGTGCTAAGTCGCTTCAGTTGTAGTCAATTCTGCAATTTCATGGACAGCAGCCCACCAGGCTCCTCTGTCCATGCGATTCTCCAGGCAAGAATACTGGAGTGGGTGGCCATCCCCTCCTCCAAGGGCTCTTCCTGACCCAGGATAGAACCTGCGTCTCTTCCATCTCCTGCATTGGCAGGTGAGTTCTTTACCACTAGAGCCGTCTGGGAAGCTCCAATTTTAGAAAGGCATATGATGGCAATTTGGCAAAAGTACCAGTCTTATTTCTCAGTTCTATGGAGAAGCATTCTCAAATGCTTTCTTTTGTTTTCTTCTCTATTCCCTGTCATAAAAAATGTGGAACATAAAATGTTCCAATTAGAAACAGAGATGTGTTACCATGATTCCTAAAGGTGGTTAATGAGCCTTTTTTTTCCCCTAACAGAAGAATTCTGAATTCATTTGAGTATTTCAATTATTGATATTAAATTCCTTTTAGCCTCATACTGCTTGTTTTCTTTTTCAAAGTCTTCTTTCTAGTCTTTCAAAGTCTTTTCCCTTCCACTTTTATTATAAAATAGGCTAGAAAAACAGAAAAACTGGGATAATTAATAGTGAGTATATAATCAATGTTTTCTCTTAACATAGTCAAAGGGCTTCTTTAAGGAAGACTGGGAGAAACAATGATGAAAAAAAGTTTTAATTATCCACTGGTTACAGTTAATATTGACTTTATCAGTATTAGAATTTCTAAGCATTTTCTTTCTATAGAAGGCAAGGAAATCAACAGAGGGAAGGTCTTCATAATCATAAGCTGCTTGCCAGCTTCTATTCTTAAACAGTGGATCCAGGGAAAATGTCCCTGGAACTGTTGGAGTAACTGGGCTAAAAAGAAAAAAAACGAAACAAGACCTCAAATACTCAAAAAAATAGGCTGAATTTGGTTAGAGGCAATTTCCCTCAAAAAAAAAAAATAATAATAATCAAAGTAAAACTATCTTAATTAGTTTGTGAGGAGAATTAGCATCGTTACACATCATCGACAATTACCAAAATCCCCTGAGCTTCTCAAAGTCCTCACCAACAAAGGAAACAGAAAGATAAGAAACTACTTTACAAGCAAAACCCAGAGGCAGAACAAAAAGTGTTGAGATAGCTAGTCAGTACTGCCAGCTCAGCCAGAGCCATCGCCTTGCTGCCAACTCTTGAGTTCCAGAGTTTTTAGGCTGACTCTTACAAGGGAATCCTCGGCTTTACAGAATTAAAAAGAGAACGGTTTGAAAGACCCTGAGCCAGAACCAACCAGTTAAAGTGTCCCTGATTCCTGCCTGGCCCACAGAAACTGTGTAAGGTAATAAATGTTTATTGTTGTCTGAAGCTGCTAAGTTTGGGGACTATTCATTATGCAGCAACAGACACTAGTACTTCTCATGACTCAAGTTCACACAGTTTGCTAGATTCTCATCATTAATATAAAAGGTAAGAATATATTTTGTAGGAATAAATATAATTAACATGTAACATACAGACAAATGAAAACAAGTTTGTTAACACAATTTCTTCAGTTACAATTAACTGTAACTGTGATAAGGCTGACAGTATAACCTTACCTGCGCTGATTCTTTTACCTAATTTGCCCTAACTTTTATGCATAGCTTCTCTACCTCAAAACCCTTTCAAATTCCTACAACATGACAGCAGGAAGGAAAATGAGAAAGGAAGTTAACTTATGACAATTTTAGGCTGGAATTACTGCAAACTGCAAATGCAAGTATTTCAAGAAAGTTTTTTTTCTTTTTTAAAATTTCTGTATTTGAAAGAATTCTTGAATAGTGACTATAATGCCTTCAGAGCCATTCTTCATCCTTGGGTGAACTATCTCTAAAAAGTGGCTTTTTCTTAAATAACAAGTCAAGAGATTTAGGTTTTTCCATCTCTCTCTATAAATCAGCATAAAGTTAAAGCAGCTACCAAGGTAAAAATATGATCTTTCATAAAAATAAAGATTCTTGTTAACAAATTTAGAATTTTATAGATGAGACAGGTGTTACTTAGTGCTCATTTTCATATGAGAAATGGTAAGGTAAGCAGACAAAATGCTGGACGACATAAGAAAATAAAAAAGTCACCTACCCTTAAGAGGATCATGCTCTGCTCTCATAATATCAATGAGGGAATTTTCCAGAGAGTGCATATTCAAACTGTCATACATTCTACTTCGATCCTGGAAGAGAAGAAGGAAAAAAAAAAGAATATAGTCTACACAATTGTTTCAAAAAGTAATGATTAATGTACTATCTCTTACATAAATTAGGACATTTGACTAATATAATATTACTAGTCAGTTTGCAACCCAAGACAATATCAATAGCTAAGGATCTCTTGAGCTTAATATCTCTTGTACTGGAGAACAACAGATTTCATACATTTATCTCCAAAATCACATATCAAAAGTATCTTATTTAATCAGCAGTATTAATGCAATACAGTAAAAACAATTTCTGTTATCAGTCTCAACTTATAAATATTTCTGAAATCTCATACACACAGAAAGCATTTTTAGTTGTTATTTAGCTTTTAAACTTTTCACATATATATAGGAATTTGGACACTGGCCCTTGAAAAATAAATATTTGGGGTGAAAAGGCTCCATAATGCACCATACTTTAAACATCAAACATTGTATGCTATCTAATAGTCAGAATTTCATAATAAAGAATGCATAAGCATCTTTAACAGTAAAAATTAAAAGCATGAAATACCAATTTCAGAACAAAGACAAACATCAAGAATAATCATAACATATGGATCTCTGCACTTCCAAACTTCCTCTCCCCTCTACCCACTGTTGCAAAACATGAAAGCAGAGGAGAAAAAGGTGAAAGGATTTTCACCGCAGCAAATTTCCTGTATCATCAAGTCTTAGAACAAAGTCTTTTGTGTAGCTGGAAGTTTTGTTTGCTAAATGTCAAACCCCTCAACTTGCTTACTAGAAGGAATCTGATTCTGTAATGCTCATGAATTTATATTGTATTCTGTTCAAAATACATTCAATAAACTTGAACAAATATACACAGGGAGCCACCACAGCAAGCCCTGGCCTGTGCCCCCTAATTGCCAAGCAGTCTGTTCCCAAATTACATCCATGTTAATCCCACTCATTTAGGCTTAAGTGTGTACCCTATCTGGTGCTTATGCATTGTATGTAGATGAGGGGAAGGTTGAGCAGGCAGGTCACTTCCAAACTCTCAAAGAATGATGAACACAGAAAAAGGAAGAACCAGAAAAGTTGGGGGAAAAAAGTCTCCACAGAAATCAGAATGAGGCTTAACCAAGGTCCCTGAGCTTCAAGGACCATGCCATCTGTGAGATGATGTAATGCTCTGTATGGACATGTATATGTGATTGTTTCCTGAAAAGGTTTATGGCTTTCCTTAGTTTTCCAAAGGAGTCCACAATCCAGAGAAGATCCAGAACCACTCTTTTAGAAAGCCGAGGAAATACATAAGAAGCTTTTCTGAGAGTATGTAGACTTTTTTAAATTCTCCTCTGATGTTTCAATGAGGGTTGCAGGCTTTTTTTTTTTTTGCAGAGACGGGGAAGGAGGGGGCAGGCAGATCACCACTGCAGACTAAACAAGTCACTGTCAGAGAATTTGAAACTGTGCAAAGCAACAGTGAATGATGGAAAGAATACTAGACCTGGAGGATCCTGCTGGAGCGTCATCACTACCTACATTAGCACCCCTTAGCTTTACTTAGACTCCTGAGATGTGACATACCCACCAGTAATAGGTGTCCCTAGAACAATGACCTTGACTGGGGATGGAGGCACAGCCGCTTTAACAGCGACTCTCACACTTAAGCATGCTTCAGAAACATGTGGAAGGCCTGTCAGACAAACAAGTTGGTGGGACTCATCAACTGATTCAATAGGTCTGGAGTGGCCTCTGAGAATTTTATTTCCAGTAAGTACCCAGCTGATCCTGAGACTGCTGGTCCAAAGACCACACTTTAAGAAGCATTGTGCTTCTTAACCTGAAGCTACTTAACCTTTTCAGGCTTTGTTCCATCTTCGAGAAAATAAAATAATCGCATCAAACTAGATGATCTCTAAAGTCCACTTTAAAAATAATAGAAATAATGGAAGAGCAAAAGACTCACAGTAGTATGTAATAAATAAAACTGGAATACAGAAAAACTCAGGCAGAAATGACATGCAATTTTTGTAATCTATTCAAATAAGTCCATCTTTTGTGCTTCTACTGTATGAGTTCATAACTAATTTGTTGGTTTTCCTGCCTCTGTCAATGAATTTCTAAGTTAATCAGGGGTAGGGACCTGCTAATTATGGAATATAGCTATCTCTCAAATGTTTGTTGAATGAACAGTACTTTATTTTTACCATAAAAACTTTGCAAAAGTTTAAGTTGAGCTCAGTGAGGGCAAAGACTGCACTTTTAGGTGGTAATTACAAAGGACTGCAAATCTTCTGAGAATCCTCCATGGACTAGGTACTCAAAACGTTAAGTAACTAAACTGAGACATGTATCAGGTAATAATGTGACCTTGCTGTCGACTTGAGAATTTCCAACTACACAATGAAAGATTAAATATTATATTCAAAGTTCCAAAATGTATTTAAAATATAGAATTTTAAAAGTAAACTGTCATGACAAAAATTGTTCATGTAATTAAACAAACAAACAAACAAATCTTTTAAAAAGTATGCTGTATCAAAGGGCTCTAAGATGGAATACAACATAGATACTTTATAGTCTATTGATCTTAAATTCTTACAAAGAAATGTATTATGGTTCAGGGCTATTTTCTCAGGCTTATGTTTTCTGAACAGAATCAGACCATGCCCTGTCTTCAGCCAACCTATGAACTTAATTAATGGTGACTGCTGCTGCTAAGTCACTTCAGTCGTGTCCAACTCTGTGCGACCCCACAGATGTCAACCCACCAGGCTCCCCCGTCCCTGGGATTCTCCAGGCAAGAACACTGGAGTGGGTTGCCATTTCCTTCTCCAATGCAGGAAAGTGAAAAGTGAAAGTGAAGTCACTCAGTCATGTCCGACTCTTCGCGACCCCATGGACTGCAGCCCAGCAGGCTCCTCTGCCCATGGGGTTTTCCAGGCAAGGGTACTGGAGTGGGGTGCCATTGCCTTCTCTGTAATGGTGACTAACACCACCCAAATTTGAATTTCCCATACAACTTTTGTTTATGTATTTATTTGGCCAGCCTCTACTTCCATTCCAAGGAGTATGAACTTGCTTTAGAGCACAACAAAATTAATGCAGAATCCTATACATACCGTCAACGGGCCATGGATAATATTTAAGGTATGAAGAGAAAATATATAAGCAAGTTATTCAATAAATGTATCAACTCTGGCAACTCTTTTATTTTTAAAATAAAAAAAGCCACATGGATTAGCAGCTTTAGCTTTAATGCCTATATCCAACTGAAACCGTGAGATGCCCACTTATAAAGTCCCTTATTTTCCTTTGCATATCAAGTCTTTCATCATGAAACAAACTCCTATTTCAGCAAAGAAAACAGCAAGCTATTTTAAAACTATTAACTTAGTTATACTTTATTAAGCATCAGCTGCAGCCCACATGATTTTTAAATCACCAAATACAAAATAGCCTTGAGCAGGCAAAGAGCTCATGACCTCGCAAAAGTTACTTTCTGGGTAATGGAACCTGAAGATTATTCACATTAAAAAAAAAAATACAGATAATTCCATTAAGTAAAGTGTGGGGATTAAAATATAACTTCTGGAAAAAAAAAAAACCAGAAACATATCTGATTACAAGTCAAATACTCATGCATTCTTCAGGAATAGGGACATTATAACAAATTGTGTTCATGTAAACTCCCATTGGTTCAAAAGCTAAATGGAAATCCTGAACCCATTTTAAAGTTACCATGAACACAGGAATACTGATTATCATAAAAAGACGGGGAATCATAGCAATGTAATCTATATTTATTACTACATGGTTATTTAAAAACAGCCAATACATTTCACAAAAGTAAGAATCTACCAGAAAAAGTTTATCCAAATATACTGCAGAAATATGAAAGTTATGTGGCAAAGAACCAACTAAATGGGCTTTCAGAAACTGAGATTACAGTATCCCACAACAATGAACAGGCAAAAATTAGAACACAATGGTAAAAAAAAACTTCTGTCTCTTATATTCTAATAGTTTGCTAGTCTTTAAATACAGACATTTGCCACAAAGTCTTATGGAAGCAACAACGAACTCCTAGAAAGACTGAAAAACACAGAAAGAACAAAGGCATTCTAATTTTAAAAAGGATGACCTGGGAAAGATTATAAACATTGAAAGGTAACTAATGAGGTCAACAGTGATATTAAAATACAACAAAAGGAACTAGAACTTAGTTAAATGGGAACTTTTTTATGGGATGCTGTATTTTTGCTTTGACATAATCAAAACCCTATTTTTTTCAAAAGAAGTGGGTAAGTAGAAGCTTTTCCTTTTGACAATGATGTATTCTCCCCATGAAAAAAGAGGCAGATTACAGAAAGTCCACCAGGCTCCTCTGTCCATGGGCTTCTCCAGGCAAGAATCCTGGAGTGGGTTGCCATGCCCTCTTGCAGGGATCTTTCCAATCCAGGGGTTGAACCTGGGTCTCCAGCATTGCAGGCAGGCTCTTTACCTTCTGAGCCACCAGAGAAGCCCATAGAAAACTCTGTAACATCATATTTAAAGTTATATCAGATGGCTTGGGCATATATTCTTCTGCCTAAGTAGAAAGATCAGCTTTTGTTGTATTTCTGTGCTTAGTTCTCCTGATTACACTCTGCTACTGCACTTTACTGACCGAGCAGCAGGTACTGTGCTGCTCTGCCTCAGTACGCAATGCAGCTCTCCACCTCATATGCTCCCACCCAAGTCTCTGGTTGCTCCACACAGAGATATCCCTTATTCATCCTACTGGACTTTCATCTTCTCAAAAGAAAAGAACAGTATCTCCCCGGACATATCTCCAGGGTAAAGTACTACTGCATATACAATGAATATACATTTCTTGACCTTCCTTTATTATTCTAATCCTCAACAAAGAGCTGTAACAGTGATTTGGTGGGGGGTGGGGGGTGGGGGTGGAATCAAGCCCCAAATAGCCAAAGCTAATTTAGTATCCACAATGGTTAAATAAAATGGAAAGGTAAGTAAAAAAACACCTGGTGTAAGAATGTATCAAGTACAAGTAAAGAACTGAACACAGATAGGAAACATAAAAAGGATTCATTATATAAGCACAGATAATAAGAGATCCCATCCTACCTTATTTTCAGTAGGTAGTTTCACAACTACCAATGTCCCTATAACTCATCTAGTTTAAGAATCACAATTTAAGGAAAGTTTCACTAAATGAAAACTTGGACTTGGCCTTGTTTCTTGTCTAATGTGAATAAAGTCTCCAAAGAATGTATTTTTCTCAGAGGTCCCCAGATTATCACATTTATCATAATAGCCTGGATATTAAAGATCAGCAAAAAATATCTTCAGTTAAGTCAAGGTAGTTTATGTACATTCCCAGGAATTGCAGGGAGAACATCTATAAGACCCCAAGTCTAGAGCTGGGAAAAAAAAAATACACACACACACACACACACACACACATACACTCAGCTAAAGAGCAGGCCAACTCTCACAGGCTTTACAGGCTATAATACAGTTTTAAAGGCATGGTGTTGGTTTGTTTACAGAAAACTGATATACCATATATAAACTAAGTAATAACAGCTCCTAGTATATTTACTCTCCACTGAAAATATTCCAGTATTAATGAATAAATATACTGTAGCCTGTTTATCTGCCTGAAAATTCAAGTTGAAGGTAACTTAGAATTTATACTTTTGAGTATGACTTAGCATATTAGCAAGAGTAGCAAATAGCATTTTAAACAAAAGTAGTATTATATTTAGCCTTAAAGAAATTAACAAAAATACATTCATTTTAAACTCAGAAATGAACATAACAATTTATATTTGTTTTTAAAAAGTTTTTAATCTGAAGTTTTTTGACTAAAAAAAAGGGGGTATTTTAAATAAGGAAATGCCAATGTGAAAATTTTACATACAACTGAAATAAAACCAACGTACAAAACTATTTCTTTTCCATTTACTAAATTCAATTACACGTCCCATTGTTGGTATAGGTTAGGCCAGGTACAAGAATTAAGACTTCAGTTCTACAGTTTACTACATTTTAGACTTAAATCAATTTGAGACTTAAGGAAATTTTAAAAGTTAATGTTTTTAAATAATGTATTTGTTAACTAAAATGCATTAGTATAAAAATACTGTATATGATGAAAAAAGATCAGAAATGAAAATAATCTCCCCAGATATTTAAGTGTCTAAGTATTTTCTATAATTTTAACTTTGCAAAATAGTGAGGAACTACCCAACTGTTTAAGATACCAACTGCAGTTTGTAGCTGCTGCTGTATTTCTAAGAACCTCAACTTCAAATACCTCAACCTTTTATGGAAAGATAGAAACCCTGAACAAATTTTGTATAATAAGTACCCTTAGGGTACTCAAAGAAAAACAACATTGCTTTTAAGGCCAGGTGGGACGTCATAGGGTACCTCCACTGCCTGGGACCAATGCCTATTGCTCCCCCTGCCCCCCAAATAAAGCAAGACCCTTGTATTCTAAAAATAAAGGAGGGGGGATTAGGAAGCAGGGAGCAAAAGACATGGCCACAGTAGATGAAAGAAAGCACAAGAGCTGGCTACAAAGGCCTTACAGGATCTAGTTCTAGACATTCCTCTTACAGACAGGGAGACTATGACCCAAAGAGATGAAAGCCCATAAACTGTGTCATCCAATGTCAAAAAACTCGTGAGAGGAAGATGATTCAGGTTTCAGATCTCCTTTTCTTCTAGGTCAGTTCACTTTCCACTATCTTTTTCTTCACCATTCTCTTCAACTTCATCCTCATATCTCGGGCTCAGGAACCATAGGGATTGCCAATATCTCAACAATTTACCAAAAAATAAAAATTAAAAAAAATTATCCTTACGCATCAACATCCTTTTTCTTAAAGTGAATTTACCTTGAATCCTAAGGGCATAGATAAGAGCAGAGAAGCTGAATGGGAGGGCTGACATAGACTCTCATCATGTGGGAGTCTCATGGGCACCTCTTCAGAGCCCAGTTTGAAAATTTCCCTTTCATTATAACCTCTATCTACCGCAGCATTTTTCTACCCACTGAAGCCATCTTAATAACCTAATCTCTCGACATCTGCCCCCCAAAGCCCCATGGATCCTCACTGACATCTTTGTCTTCTTTTTCCTCCACAGATACACATCTTGCTCACATATCCTCTTGCTTCCTCCTGGTACAACCTCTTCACATAATTATGTCCTTTCTTGTCTAAAAACATGTCCCTTGACACCTTCAAAATAATTACCAGTTTTCCTCTTCTAGCATACCATCTCCTAGGCATTTAGGTATTTAATGTGAACACCATTACTTGAAAATGCCACTAATATAGCTTAACTGTGCCAGAGAAGAGAGGAGAGTAGAAATAGATGTATTACACTGCAACATTAACAACATAATAAATTACAAATTACATGAGATACGTACTTATTTCTAACTGGAGATCCTGGCAGGACTACTTTGGTAAATAGGCGGACTTATTTAAAACAAGTGCTAATGGCTGATTACTGAAGTTACTGCCAACCCTACAGGTTAGAAAGGTATTTTCAAATGTAATATTAATCTGTTTATAGAGTCCTTACTTGTAAAATCATTTCATGTTGATAAAGTAACTACGGATAACAGAGCTCCATTCACTGGACCCCCCCAGAGTCAAGTCTATGGTCATTCACACTTGGGTTCTGTAATAAAGAATCCTCTTTTGTGAGGACTGAGTGTCCTACTTGTCCTGCAAACAATTCTCATCACCTGTACCCAGTTTGCATTCAAATTTCATCTGCAGGAAGAGAGATAGCATTCTGTAACCATAAAGGACTTGAAGGCAATTCGATCAAGACTTGACTCTCAGATGTTTGACTCAGTTTCTTTTCTATAAGGAACTGATTATTTGGGAAAAGATAAGTGTATTTCATAGCACTAACAAAATTTAGAGAAATACCATAAACTTTTTTTTATAAAGGTGAAAAACTGAACTAAGGGTTTTCTTAGAAGCATATATCAAGACAAATACAGCATGTTTCATGAAACAGTGTGCCAAAAAATTCTATAAAACATTTATGAAATGTACGATTAGATGTTAAACAAACATATGATTTTATACCTAACTGCAAATGATTCTGAGAAGACATAAAATATGTTCAGTTTAAATGATTCTGAAAAGAAATAAAAGGTGTTCAGTTTGACTGATGTTTAAAGTCAGGTGCACTTGGGTATATGATTCCTTTTTCCAAAAACAAATCAATTACGTTCAGGAAATGTAAAAAGATTATGAGCTACTTTCAAATTTAAAAATGAAACACTTTAAATAATTTAAGTGAATCCTTTAAAAATACATTGCTTTCACACTTTCTGACATATGCTTAAACAAGTATAATTGAAAAGTACATACTAAATCCTACTCACAATACAAATACTAAACCCCTAGCCAAAATCCTGGTACGTACACACTGTGCAGCCTACCTGGTCTATTCTGGATGTTCCGGCTGCAGTGCACCAACTATCTTGGAGTGAATCTGAGCCCCAAGCTGGCAACTGCAAACTAGATCTCACCTTCAATAGCATAGAAGTTTTCATCAGAAACAAGCAGTTCTCTTCCCCATACCCACCCACAAAAAAAAAAGAAAAAGAAAAGGAACAAAGAATGAAAAGAAAAAAAAAAACAATCAAAGGTTCTATCTTGTATCTTTGTTCCATCCTCTAACAGTGTTAAAGGTAAGATATTCTCATTTTAGATAATATAAGGGGACTTCATTAACTTAAAATATCAACAAAATATTAAAGGTCTGAAAACATGTCTAATCATCATAAATATTAGGCCACATTTAGAAAAAATCAGTGAACAAATTTGAATTCAATGTAAAACACCCTAATATTATTTTGCCTCGATCAGAGCTGCACTAACTATATTTAAATATACATACAGCTGATCATAGTCAAATTCATAAACAATTACTAAATATTTTAGTTCAGCTATATTGGAGGAGAAACTCATTTTGGTGGCCTATTAAAGATTAATAAATTAAGGCATTCTCAAGGAGCTGCCAATTAAAAAGCTTCAATGTGAATTTAAGAAATATAGCAGGGTTTTTCTACACTTTATGAAGCTTATTTTCTATTATGTGTTTAGAGAACTTTTTTTGTAGTCTCATTTTCTCTGTGTAGGTATTTCATCCTGTGATAATTAAATCAGACACTTAAACATTAGAGCTTTCTCATTTTAATCCATGAACTTTATCATACTTTGACTACTACCACCACCCAATTTCCTATATTGAAAGATTAACATTAGAAACATGGCCATTTACACACCATTCTTACCTGTAAGGGTAAGAGTGTATTACTATTGTTGTCAGTTCTGAACACATTATCTTCAATCCAAGATTTTGGAGTCAGTGATGGAGTAGAGCGAGTGAATTTCGGTGGTGCTATGACATTACCAGAAAACGGTTTCTTCAATGGAGATATCTGATTCATAGTTCCTGGAATTCCCATGTTTCCAGTTCTACGATGATCTCTGCCATGCATCGCTCCCCAGGACATACTTCCAGTGCCCCAGCCACTGCTTTGATGGTTGCTCCAAGGAGATTGTTTCAGAAGAGGCTGGGGAAAATAAATTTATTTAAATTACAGGCATTTAAAGAGTTTAGAATTGAAATCCAAACTTAGGCCTGAGTTAAGAATTTATATAATCTTTTGAAAAATAAGCATTTAATAGACGAGCTCTTGTCTATGAAAACATATTCACTTAATGCTGGGTGACTTTTCGTGCTCTCGTCTACATAAATATAATGAATCAAGCAGATATTTCACGACGATTACTAAAATAGAACCATGCAATTACTTTTTTTCCCCTTCAGAGAGAGCCATATACATGACAGATATGAAGAAAAAGCTAAAGATAAAAATTGAAATTAACTTTGAAGATCCTTAAAGATATAACTTACACTATGATCTTTACGCAATCATATTCTGCTAAGCATACCACTAGAAACAGGGTTTTATTAATTAAAATACACCAATCATATGAGTGAAATATTTAGACTTTAGGTTTCTGAACAAGTTGTATCACTGTAAAAGTGGTTAATAACATTTGGCTTTATTCTATTGCATGGAATAAAAATGCCTTTGGGGGATAGAGAAAATACAAGAAATGTCTCTCTCTTTTTTTTGCACTGTTTATTCAACTTTTAAAAAATTTTATTCCAGTTTTAAAGTACTTTCTTTGAAAGTTCTGTAGTTGTTATTTCACTTAACTATCCAAGAAACTATTATCTGCTATTATCCATAGGCAGATACACTAAGATAACTATATACTTTGATCGTTCTAGTAGAGATCTTAATAATACAAGTCTCCATTAATGTCATCCATTTTCAAAAATAAATTCTATTCCAAAACAGAACCAATGGCAAGACAAGTTAAGTCATCAAAGAATGAAAAATTCTCCAAGAGGCTATAACTGTAGATTTTGAAGAGTATTAATTGCTAGCAATTATATTGTCAATAAGCTTATAATAATTTTGTGCTAACATTGAGCCAAAAGGAGTATGGGTCATGGAGTTACTATATAAGTCAATAAGTTACTGTTAAGTCAAGCACTCTTAAATCTATTTTTTTGGTAAACCTGGTCTATAGTACCTGTTTTAAAAAAATTTTTTAATGCTGATATAACCATAAATATATACTACCCTTTCCCCCTCTACATACTTCAAAAGCATAGCTAAGGGTCCATGGACAAATCCCTCATTCTTGAGGGCCTTACTTTCCTCATGGACACAGTGCTCAAACTTCTCTTGCAGTGATCTAAAATTCCATTTAACAGCTGGGTGACCTTTTACACTCCATTGTGAGACCCTTCTTTTTGACAAAAAAGCAGATTACAGTTAAATATGGATCTCTGTATACAGTCTTCTAATAATAGTCCACGGCCTCAAGAACACAAACATACCTATTGATAGCCGGGACAAGTTTCTAGTTAAAAAAGTAAGACCCTGACATCCAAAAGATAGTTCTTCAAGATCAGGTAAATCATGGAAAAGTGGCATACTATTTCAAGATTACCTAATTTCAACTCTTACAGGCCACATTCTCTTTTCTCAGGGAGAAACCAGTGGAGTGATTCAACAAAAGCTGTTAACTGTTATTCTGGTTAATTTAAATAAACTGTTAACTGTTTCTCGGGCTAATTTAGATAGTAGTCACCTCTTGAAAAGGTTAATCCTTAAAAACTAACTGATCAATGGAAAAAGTTACATCAGTAAGTTAATACTTAAGGTTAAGGTCCAATTTTGCTTCTCAATCTTTAATCACTGAAGTGGCCTTAGACAGAATAAGCACTTTAATAAATGCTGACTAAATTAAAAAAAAAAAAAAAGAACACCAAAATACTCTTTCAATGTCAACTAACCAACCCAGCGGTCTCTTCTCAGACGTTGTCCTGACAGGATAACAACACAGACCTTGAATTTCAGAAAGGACCCGGATGAATAACCTGCGCGTTGTGATTTCATAGTTACACTACTCCCTTAAAATATACACACCCTATCATTCAAGAGAAGGTTAAGGCCACCAAAAAAGAAAAAGAAAAAAAGTCTTCTCTTCAAGGTAACACACTAATCGCAGTCTCGTTTAGTTTTAAAACCTACAAGATAATACCCAAACCTTGAAAGGCACAGAAAGTGAAACGACCTTGGAGCATCTATCTATCTCCTCAAGCATCTGACAGCTCGGGGCCCGACCCGCGCCGGGAGGGAGGCAGGTCGGCGGGAGGAGTGCTGCCGGGCGGCCGCTCGCCGACGCGGGTCCCGCCGGGTTAGGCGGTGCGGGCAGCCACCGCCTCGCCCGCGACGGCTCCCTCCGGCCAATTCAGGAGGAAAGAAACCCCAAAGCAAAAAGGCCGTTCCGCCCGTTCCCTCACTGGACGGCGGCGGAGGCTCACGGGCTGCCCACACGCGTCGCCTCCGGTAATCCTTCTCCTCCTTCCCCAGTTCGCTTCCCACAGCCGCTCGACCCGAGGCCACCGCCCTTGCCCGCCGGTCCCTTGGTCCCCGAACCCCGGCCGCCTCGCCTCGCAGTGGGGCGCCGGCGGAGTCCTGGGGTCGCTCGCTCCGCGGGACCGGAGGGGACGTCGCGCCCGGACGCCCGCCGCCCCGGCCCCGGGCGCCATTCCGCTCCGGCCCCAGCCCCCAGCGCCGCGCCGGGGCGTTCGAGGGGGCGCCCGGCCGGGACCACTTCCAGCCGGGCCCGCCTCCGGAGCCTCACAGCCCACGGTGGCCACAGCCCTCCCGCCCCGCCGGCGGCCGGTGGCCCGAGTCCCGTGGCCCTTCACCGCCCTCCGCGTCCCACTCCCTCGGGCGAGCGGCCCTCGCCGCGGCTCCTCGGAGCCGCTCGGGCCGAGCCCGGTCTCCAGGCACCCCGCCCGCGGTCTCCCCGGCCCCGCGACGCAACCGGGCCGCCAGCCGTGCGCCGTTACCTGGTGGTGGTTGTAGGAGTTCCTCTGCTGCAGGAAGGCGGCGGCCGCCGCCTGGTGCTGCTGCTGGAGCTGCGGGCTGACTGGCGACCTCCGGCTCTGCGGCTGCTGCGGCGCCGCGGGCGGCGGGGGCTGCTGCTGAGGTAAATTCATGGCGGGCGGCGGGGGCACGGCGGCCGCCGAGAAAGGGCCCCCGAAGCCGCCGCCGCCGCCGCCGCCGCTCGCCGGCACGCTAAGCCCCGCGCAGCCGTGCGGGGACACCGGCGAGAAGCTCGGGAAGAAGGCCGGGTTCATGGACGACGGCAGCCCGGGATAGAAGCCGTTCTCCGAATCGGGGCTGGGCGGCGGCATGGCGCTGAGCGAGCCGCCGCCGCCGCCGCCACCGCCACCCGGGGTGGCGGCCGACGAGCCCGGCGGCTGCGGCTGCGGCTGCGGCGGCTGCTGGGGCGGCGGCGGCGGCGGCGGCTGCTGGGGCGGCGGCGGCGGCTGGGACTGGGGCGGCGGCGACGCGGTCTGCACCGACCAGGGGGTGCCGAAGCCGGGCAGCGGCGGCGGCGACGCGGAGCCGCCTCCCCCTCCGCCTCCGGGGGGCCCCCCGCCCCCGCTGCTGCCGCCGCCGCCACCGCCCGGGTGCGGAAGGTCCGGGCTCTGCAGGCTGCTGAAGGCGCCCGCGCCGAGCGCCCCGCCGGGCAAGAGGTTACTGGGACTGTTGAGCAGAGGGTGGTTGGGGGACTCCATGGAGCCCGGCGCGGGGTTCACCGGCGGCGTCGAGGGGGCCAAGCCCGCATTAGGGGGCTCGGCGGCGCTGCCCTCGCCCGCGGCCGGGGTCTGGCGAGGGCTGCCCGCGCCTCCGTGGCGGCGCCGCGGGGCTGCGGGCGGCGAAGGCTGGAGTTGCGGGAGCGGGGTCAGGTCGGCCGGGCGCTGCCGCGGGGCGAAGTCCTGCGGCGGGAGGTGCTGCGGGTGCGGGAGGCTGAACTGCGGCGGCAGCGGCTGCTGGCGCTGGGCGAGCGGCGCCGGGTGGAGGAGCTGGCCGGGAGGTGGCGGCGGCGGCGGTGGCGGCGGCGGGCTGAACCGGCCCGGGCAGTGGAGCGGCTGCGGCAGCGGCTTCGAGTCCGGAGGGTGGGGAAGATGGGGAGGGCTGAACTCTTTCCTCTTCTGGCTGCTCAGCTGCTGCTGCTGCCGCTTACTGAAGTCCTGCGGGGAGGAGGTGCGGCGGCAGCAGCAGCAGGAGGCGGAGGAGGAGGAGGGGTGGTGCAGACTCGGTTTGAAGTCCTGGGAGGGGAGGAGGTGGGTCACACCCGCGTTCGTGCCGCCGCCGGGGTGGTGGTTGGGGAGTTTCTCCGTGGCCGCCGCCCCCGAGAGCGGCCGCGCCGGCTGCTGTGTCAGCCCCAGCAGCAGCTCATCCTGCATGGTCTGCTGATGCGCCAGGAACGGGGAGGAAGAGGAAGCGGCGGCGGCGACGGCAGCCGAGCGGTCCGCGCCGCCGCAGCCGAGGGGGATCGACAAGGGGGAGGCGGCCTCCGAGAAGCCGGTGACAGGCAACGGCGGCGGCGAGAGCGGGCCGAAGGGCGTGGCGGAGGGCAGCGGGGCGGCGGGTCCCGCGGCGGAGGGACAGTACGCTCCGCCGCTGAACAGGGACCCGGGGCTGTTGCTTCGGAGAGGGGCGGTGTGCAGCACCCCAAAGCCGAAGTCCCTCATTTATCAGGCCGGCGGCCGCGGGAGGAGACGCGTCCTGTCCGCCGCCGCCGCCGCCCTGCCTAAGAAGCCGCCGGATCTGAGGCGGCGCGGCCGTGGTGGAAGGAGGTGGGGCGGGGGAAGTCAGTGAGTGAGGGACACCGTGACTGAGCCAGGGGGCACCGACTTCGGCCCCCGCCACCCCTCGCGGCGCTCACCGCCACCTCCCGAGACCGGCTCGGGCTCCGCCGCCGCGGCCGCTGCGGCCGCCGCCGCCCAGGCCGCTTAAGAAGCCCGGAACGTGCGTCAGCGCCACCTCACAATCGCACCGCCCCCCGCGGTGCGTCCCGGCACGCGCGGGCCCGCGGCCGCCGCGCCCCCCACTGCCCCGCCCCTGCCGCCACCGCCCCGCCTCTCATGAATATACAGATGAGGCCGGGGACGCGCTCGCGCTCTCGGGAGGGCGGGGGGGGCGCGGGCGCGAGCGCGAGCGACGCGTCTCCTCCGGCTACCCCCGCGTCCGGGAAAAGGAGCGGCCGGTTGGACCGGCGTGGGGCTGGCGACGCCTGAGCGCCCGGCGCGAGCTCACGAGAGCAAGCACGCGCGCGTGCGCGAGGCTCGAACGGTTCCTGGGCAACCGCCCCTCCTGGCGCGGGGTCCCGGCCGAGTCTGCGGCAGGTCGCGCGCGCCACCTGCCCTCCGATCGCGTCTCCCTCAGGGCCCCGCCCTGGGTCACGGAAGCCCCGGCCGCCGGCATAGGGGTCCGCCCTAGGCGGTGCTGGTCAGCGGGGGAAACTGAGGCCCGGGAGTGGCTCTCCGCGTCGGCGGCCGCGCGGAGACCCCGGCACCTCGCGTCCCCCCGGGGCTTGGCGCGGGAGGCCTCTGGCCGGCTCGCGTGTGCAGGGCTCGGTCGCCTCGCAGGCCTCCGGGCGGCTTGCCCTGGAAAACGCCTTTTCGTGCGGGTTTCCGTTTTTTTTTTTTTAAGCCTCTCGCGCCGCGTGCTGTCATCCGCCCTCCCACCGCCGCGGGGAAGTGTTCCTTGTCGTGGAAAGACGAAGCCCCGGCCTCGTCCCAAGCGTTTTCACTTCAGTGGTGACGAACAAAAGTCCCCGCAAGCCCCGCGGTCCCGCGCGGCGGTTTACACACAGACGCGCACACGGCGGGCCCCGCGGCGAGCTACCGGGGAAAGCTGGGCCCGCTCCCCAGCCCTCCCGGTCGGGAAAGCGCGACTCCTCCCCAGCCGCGCTCGTTCTGGCATCCCCGCCCCTTCCCCCGGGAGACTCAACCATTTCCAAAGCTTTATGAATTTTCTAGGGAGAAAGACTTCTTGACAACAGGGAGGAAAAGGAGATTCTGACTCAGCAACAGACTTGTTGAGACTTGCAAAACGGGAAGAGGAGAGCTTTCCAAGATAGAGCTCTTGTTGGAAGTGACAGAAGAGGCTCTCAACCTGTGTATTTCCTAAAGAAACATTTTAGATAGACTAGATAGATAGATAGATAGATAGATAGATAGATGAGGGTCTAGATGAAGGAACAGCAGAGTGATCCATACTAGTAAGCTACTGAATTTTATGTTCCTCTTCTGCCATTTTAACTTTTCTTGTCGTTCAGGGAAAAACTACTGAAGGAACTCTAGAAAATAGACTAACATAGACTGATAATCTCAAAAGCAATAGAAATGGGTTTGCAGTCTACCTGGTTTGGGTTTGCAACTGAACTTAGATTAAATATTCCGTATTGTTAATTAGCACACTTTTACTGCTGTAGGCAGGAGTGTTCATTTTTTATGGGTCCTCATTTTCTATTAGTTAAATTTCATTCCCACTTTTGTTACTTCAGTGTTTCAAATTTATACAAATCAAAATAAATACAGTAGAGAGAAAAACATTCCATGGGGAAAATACATTCTATGTATAACGTTTATGCTTTCCTGTCTAATGAACTAAGTTTGACATTGCCTTCAAATAAGGAGAAAGTTCTTTTAAAAAACAACTCATAAATGGTTTAGAAGTCAGTGGATGTATAGAAAATTGGTTTGAATTAGTAATCTCGAAACCATTTTCAACAATCAAGCAAAATATAAAACCAGAGAATTCCTTTTTTACTCTTAAGTTAGCAATGTCTGGAAAATAACCTGACCTCAGAATTAAAAATATAAATAGCTATTTTCACAACACCTGTTGACATATCTGTTAATAATCACTAATCCATTTTGCAAGGAAAATGTTCAGCAACTGAGGTATATAAAAATCTTAAAATGAACAAATTTCTTTTTTTTTTCTAAGTAAAGTTATACTTGACTGGACTCATCTGAGGATCCAAGACAAATCTTGAAAAGGCAGGCACTGAAATTAGCTCAATCATCCATTAAAATTGCAGTTAGTGCAATGTAGAGAGAGCATACATTTAAAAGCCAAATGGTGCCATTCTGGCCTAAAGTTTGAACAAAAACAAGATTTCTTAGTGTGCTGAGACTAGTTTCAGTTTAGAACATTTCGAGCTCTCCAAAATGGAAAAATACCATCAAGTTTGGTATTATGTAATAAGGTCAAACTTCATATTAAGTACACTAAATCCTGAAGTTCCATTGCCATGTCCTCTTCTCACCACAGTCACATCTCAGATTGTGTTTTGAGGGTCCCAAGTTATATTCTGAAAGCTAGAACTTTTAAGCTGATGAGTGTCCCATCATTGAAAATAGTTTCCCTGCAGTGCAGGTAGACCTGCATGGGAGGAAAGAGGTTGGGGACCCCTAGCCCAGGAGTCCCCAACCTCCAGGATCTGATGTCTAATGATCTGAGGTGAAACTGGTGTAATAATAATAGAAATAAAGTACACAATAAATGTAATGTGCTTGAATCATCCTGAAACCATCCCCCCACCCCATCCATGGGAAAATTGTCTTCCACAAAATCAGTCCCTGGTGCCAAAAAGGTTGGGGACTGCTGCTCTAGCAAGTCTGAAGCCAAGATCTTATGAGTCTATATCCTAATCATTTTTACATGAAAATATATTAGTTGCATGACCAGTAACTCAGTACCTGGCTTGAATTTGACAGTCTCTTGTTCATTTCCAGCCACTGGCCTGGGCCAGTGGTTTTAAAAATATTTTTCTACAACCCAGGACACACATATACACACATGCACCTGAGATAAAGCTTTTCTTAAGCAATTTTACCTCAATACATGGGACAAACACTTTTAAAATTTTACTTTTTAAAATCACTAATCAGTCAGTTCAGTCGCTTAGTCATGTCCAACTCTTTGCCATCTCATAGACTGCAACACACCAGGCTTCCCTGTCTATCACCAACTCCCGGAGCTTGCTCAAACTCATGTCCATGGAGTTGGTGATGCCATCCAACCATCTCATCCTCTGTCATCCCCTTCTCCTCCTGCTTTCAATCTTTCCCAGCATCAGGGTCTTTTCTGAGTCAGTTCTTTGTATCAGGTGGCCAAAGTGTTAGAGCTTTAGCTTCATCATCACTCCTTCCAATGAATACTCAGGATTGATTTCCTTTAGGATTGATTTCCTTTAGGATTGACTGGTTTGATCTCCTTGCTGTCCAAGAGACTCTCAAGAGCCTTCTCCAACTCCACAGTTTAAAAGCACCAATTCTTCAGTGATCAGCTTACTTTATGGTCCAACTCTCACATCCATACATGACTGTTGGAAAAACCATAGCTTTGACTAGACAGACTTTTGTTGGTAAAGTATTGTCTTTGCTTTTTAATATGCTGTCTAGATTGGTCATAGTTTTTCTTCCAAAGAGCAAGCATCTTTTACTTCCATGGCTGCAGTCACCATCTGCAGTGATTTTAGAGCCCAAGAAAAGAAAATCTCTCACTGTTTCCATTGTTTCCCTATCTTTTTGCCATGAAGTGATGGAACTGGATACCATGATCTTAGTTTTCTGAATGTTGAGTTTTAGTCCAACTTTTTCACTCTCCTCTTTCACTTTCATTGAGAGGCTCATTAGTTCCTCTTTGCTTTCTGCCATAAGGGTGGTGTCATATACATATCAGAAGTTGTGGATGTCTCCCGGCAATCTTCATTCCAACTTGTGCTTCATCCAGCCTGGCATTTCACCTGATGTTCTCTTCATATAAGTTATAAAAGCAGGATGATTTCAAATCTCTAATTTTAGACTCATGATTAGGTCGTGAGCTGAAATTGAAGAACACTGTCCTAGAAGACTACTTCTCATTTTCTCTGTCTTAAGTCCTGCTTACACCTCCTGTTCTCACCCTCAGTTGCTCACTTGGCTTCCTATTTTGCTCAGAAGATAGAAGCAGTTATAGGTGCGCTTCCCCAGGTCCTCATGGCTCCCCTTTCCAGTCTCTGCATCTGTCCCCGGATACCTCACCTTCCCCCCTGGTACATGGAGCGTGTCCTCACCCCACTTCCGGTCTAAGCCCAGCCCTCCACTGGTGGACCACATCCTTCCCACACTTGCTCGGGACACAGCTTTGTAGACATCCCGAATTTAACATGGCCCAAGTTGAACTCCCCACTTCCTTATTGGACTGCAAGGAAATAAAACCATCCATCCTAAAGGAAATCAGTCCTGAATATTCATTGGAAAGACTCATGCTGAAGCTGAAGCTCTAATACTTGGGCCCCCTGATGGGAAGAGCCCACTCATTGGAAGAGACCCTGACCCTGGAAAAGATTGAAGGCAGGAGAAGCAGGGAGCAGCAGAGGATGAGTTGGTTAGATAACATCACTGACTTAATGGACATCAATTTAAACAAACTCCTAGAGATGCAGTGAAGGACAGGAGAGCCTGGCGTGCTGCAGTCCATGGGGTCGCAAAGAGTCAGAAGTTAACAACTGAACAACAACAACCTCATTAATCCCCATCTGGGTAAATAGCCCTCTACTATTGTAGCTACTTAGGCCAACAACTTTGGGATCCTTCTTGACTTTTTTTTTTTTTACAGGATATCCAAGCCATCATTTCATGCTGCGTGTCCAACCTTTAAGTTATATGACAATCCAACCACTTCTCACCACTCCCAC